GAGCTTGTTGATCTTTTTTAAGTCACTTGCTCTGGTGCTGCTCCTCCAGCAGATGATGGCAGAAGAGATGGCACTCTCTACAACAGACTTATAGAAGATATGCAGCATCTTGCTGCAAACGTTGAAGGACTTCAGCTTCCTCAAGAAGTACAGTCTGCTCTGTCCCTTCTTGTAGATGCTTCACTGTTGCATTTCCAGTCCAGTCTATTGTCCAGGTGAACTCCAAGGTATTTATACTTCTCCACCACCTCCACTTCTTCTCCCATGATGAAAATAGGGTTGGATCTGTTCCTGATTCTCCTGAAATCTACAATCATCTCCTTTGTTTTGTTCACATTCAAGATGAGATGATTGTTTCCACACCATGCCACAAAGCGGTCCACCAGTTCCCTGTACTCAGCTTCTTGTCCATCTCTGATACACCCGACCACTGCAGAGTCATCTGAATATTTCTGCAGATGACAGGAGTCTGTTTTGTACTGGAAATCTGAGGTGTACAGAGTGAAAAGGAATGGTGAGAGTACAGTCCCCTGTGGTACTCCTGAGCTACTGACCACCTGGTTAGACACACAACCCTTCAGTCTCACAAACTGTGGTCTGTTTGTCAGGTAATATTTGATCCAGGTGAATGTTGAGGCCTCCACCTGAGTCTTCTGGAGTTTCTGACAAAGCAGATCAGGCTGGATTGTGTTAAATGCACTGGAGAAATCAAAGAACATGACTCTCACAGTGCTGTCTGCCTTTTCTAGATGACAGTGAGTTTGCTGAAGCAGGTGTATGATGGCATCTTCAACTCCAAGTCCACGCCGATAAGCAAACTGCAGTGGGTCCTGATATGTGCTTGTTTGTCTAGTCAGGTGGGTCAGCAGAAGTCTCTCTAGGACCTTCATGATGTGGGATGTCAGGGCAACAGGTCTATATTCATTGAGGACTAATGGGTGCATTTTCTTTGGCACTGGAACAAGACAGGATGTTTTCCACAACACTGGAACCTTCTCCTGGGTCAGGCTAAGGTTGAAGAGGTGCTGCAGAACCCCACAGAGCTGCTCTGTACAGACCTTCAGGACTTTGGGACTGACACCATCTGGACCTGCAGCTTTATTCCGGTTCAGTCTCTCCAGCTGCTTCCTCACCTGACTTCTGGAGACGCAGAGGGGGGAGGCAAAGGAGGTATCAGCATCTTCTGATTTGGTTGAAGACCAATATGTAGAAAAAGGGTCCATGACTGCGGTGGTAGATACAATGTTTGAGGTGTGACAGGACAGCCTTGGGTCAATAGAGAGTGGTATGTATGTTTGGCTGTGGGCAAGAGAGGAGGATGCTGAACTTGTTCCTGAACTGAACCTATTGAAGAATGTGTTCAGTTCATTGGC